GAATCAGTTGAAATAGATGTAATCTTGTTGTTTCTAAATGAGAATAAGTATCCAAAACCTGATACAATTGTTTCGAAACCATCGAGAGATGTTAGTTGATTTTCATTCATTTCAATTGTATATAGAGTAGAAATGTTATTTGGAAGATGATTAATCATACAATTCGATGCTTGCAATTTGCTCATCGATTTTAATCCATTGATAGCATCAAGCGAAGAAAGTTGAAGATTACTGTTGACAGACAAAGAAGTGAGAGATGCTAGTTTACCCAAAGTGGCAGGAAGAGTGACAAGTTGATTTTGATCAAGAGTCAGTTGAGTGAGTTTATCAAGATAGATAACATCCTCTGGAAATATTTCCAAACCACAGTTGATAATAGATAGTGTTGATAGAAGACTCATACTGAACAATTCACGTGGAAGACTAAGAGATTTGGAAACGTTGGATACGGTAAAAGATCTAAGAGTTGAAGAAAGAAGAAGGATTTCAGGTGGAATTGATAGATCAGCAGAATCTATGAGCGAGAGTGCTTGCAAATTTTGTAAACAGAAGAGAGCAGGTGGAACATTGGGAATATTAACTAGACTGAGTTCGATCACACTACCGTACATATCGACTACGGCATAACTGGAACTAAAGGTTGACAGTTGAGATGGATTAATAGAGACATGAAAAGGAAAAGATTGAATAATTTGTTTGTCTGATGTGTAGATAGAACCATTTATTGAACAATTGTGTTGTGGTGGTGGTGGTGGCAGTGTTGTTGTAGTTGTTGTTGTTGTCTTTGGAGCAACTGAAATAAAGAAACAAAGATATCTGCTTGATTATCTAATCGAAAGGCAACACACCCATGGAAAAGACCGAAACAAAGCAGTGGTTGTTATCAGGATTATTAATCTTCAAAAAAACTTAGTGCATACATATATTACTACGTATATGATTTTGTTCCCGTCAAAATCGTAATCGAATCCACTTTATCAGTCTTTGTTCAATTCAACTTTTAGCTCATGTTTTTTAGTTTCTATTCAAATGTGAGTTTGTGAGTAAGGATGAATAGTACGCCCATAATCACCAAAACTCAACTTTCTATCTGCATATTTTCCTGCATTAGAAATCATGGAAGGTGAAAAATAGCGAAAGTTGACAGTGCTTGCCCACTCAGAGATAGATATAGCTCAGTAGAAATATTTGTGACAGAGATGAAACCGATCTGGATTTTTCATGATTGGCACCGATCTAAATAGACCAGATTGAACTGGAATAGTCGGCCTGAAATGTATAGCAACCCTGAACTGATGAGTTCTCGCACTATTCTATCTATGGATAGTGATGTTTGACGTAGTCAATTTTCAATAAAGTTCCATTACACATCCTCTATGAGATAAATAGAGCAAAAGTATTAATAGAATATACTAGTAATGATTGATCCTACTGATCGGTAATTGGTACTGTTTTTATTTCACATGAGCGCTGATGGTTTCTATGAACTTCTGAGAGAAAGCCTTTGGTGCTTTTAACAGAGAAGTTTAAGTTTTTTAAAAGATATAATGTACGAAAAACGATTTTTCACTATTGGATTATTAGATATGTTGTGAAGGTACCATCCATGACCCTAACAGTCGAATTTTGTACTCAGACATAATAGAAAAATAATTCATTTGAGCGAGGAAAATGAAATGCTTTCAGCAGTATCTTTGTATGAAAAGAGAATGTGAAAATATGCAAAACGCTTCATGATATCTTTCAATCGAGTTGTGATCCTTAGACTGATTGAATTGTTTGCTGCATACAAGCCTTAATTCTTCTCTGTTATTATCCTTTTCAATTGTTTGGTTTTCAGTGAATATTCATTATTAGAATTGTTTAGATACTTTATTTCACCATAGTATATATTTGCATTCCTATTTTCGTCAATGAAGACTATATTCTCATTGCTATCGATTAAAAGTCTATTCGAAAGTATGTCATCGATCGAACAGATCAGACAAATCAAATGCTGTAACATAAGGACCCAATCTCAAAACTATATAGCGTAGCTATAGATGATTTTATCAATCGATTTATTCGTGATATTAATCAATATTATTTAAACATCTGTAATCTTTAATTAACATGAATAGAAATGAACCATATACTATAGTGTAATAAAATACCTAAATGATTATTTGAATCTACATTGTATAGAGACCAAAGAGCACAAAGAGAATACAAAAGATACTGTTTATTTCGCTTGATCTTGCTCAATTTGTTGATAATGTTACATTTTTCGCGTTCTTCGATGATGTTTTATCGAATGATCGACTCAAATTATCAATCTCTATACTTCTATTTTGTATTTTACTAACAGTACAATGAGTATAAAACTGATTTACATGTTCTTCTATATAGTATTGCAATCTTTTCTACACTACTCCAAAGACATTCGTACAATACAAAAGAATTGGTACCTATTCGTATTTATTCACCATGGAAAAGTTCTTTTTGAGATAACTTACGTACCACATCCATCCCAACAAGCACATTTATTTTTTAAATTAAGTTTATAGTAATTGATTGAAGGTTCACCTAAAGCTTCTAATTCATTGGTACCATCAGTTACACATTCTAATATAACAACGACTGTTTTTTCACCAGCTGAATAAGTAACTGAAGGACCACTTCCTAAACCACCTGGATTCCAGCTTGCACTCTCTTGTGTACCAAGAGAAAAGCTGTATTGTCCATCCATCGAAACTAAATACAATACAAAGTAAAATAGATGAATTATATGAAATTACTAACCTTGGCAAGCAGCTACTCCATTACAACTAGGTCCTTCGTTAAATGGTTTACATGGATTATAACTATATTCTATAATTAATAAACATTGAATAATATATATCAAAACAAATTTAACATACTATAGCCAGATCCTGTCAGTGGTAATTTATCAGGATATGCAGGTTTTCCATCAGTTCGACCTAAAGAAGTTAAATCAATGACACCTTTTGCAGGATATTCAAATCGACATGGATCATCAGCAATAACTAATGAAGATAAAACAGCGAAACTAGTGAAGATTGTTAACCAAGACATTATCATGACGAGAAACTATATTCAAACAAAATAAAATATTCAGTGGACAATGTAACAAAACAAAAAAATATATAAAAAAAAACTCATCATTATCAGTTATCTGACTTTTTTGTTACATTATTTACTGAAATACTTCAACATTTTTTCAAAACAACTAACTGAATCATGTTGTTTTTCATTTTACATCACTAGATAATAATAAGTATTGTCTTCTGTTTTCTTTTACGTAATATCAGTTTTACACAAAATGATTCTATTGACGAACTAACAAGAAAACTACCTCGAGGTAGTATTTCGTGTTTCAAAAGAGACCTCGGCTATTAATGAGAGTCTGTTGAGACTAGAAAAAAACCTAGAGTGATTCTTGTGCATGCGCTGCCAGTTTTATGTTATAGCCATTGCATTGGATTTAGCACGATTGGTAGGATATTCATAAAACATATCAGATAAGCGAATTTGAGTCTAAAACTTTCAGTTAAAAAGCATGGTCTCTTCGTCAGATATCAAAATTTACAAAAAACCATTATATCTCACCAACAACAATGGAAAATGTGCTTTTTTTTGTCGATATGATCTCTCGACAAGACATCGTTCTTTGTGACTTAAAGTTGTAAGAGATTCTAACGAATTCAAGAACTGTCTATGGACATAGTTATACCTCAAAATTCGTTTGCCTGTGCTTTTTATAACTACCGTATCAAAGATAAAAAATGTATTATAATAGCTGTAACTTTAAAAGAGTATCGCATGGGGCAAAAATCTGTATTTCACTCGTAAGAAAAAGTGTTAGAACTAAAGAAAATGGTTAATTTCATAATATTAATGTAACTATGAAGAGTTCGTTAATAACATAGCTTAGTTGCTTTTCGACGTATCTGTAAAGAAAATATTTATACTATTCGTAAAATATCATAATTTTCCTTTACTGATTTTAAATTAATCTAATCATCTATAGTTACAACTGATTTTCTGAAGACCCTACTTCTATCAATATAATCAAAAGTCAAAAGAAAAAGAAATTTGTTTTTTTTTTTTAATATCTTTTTTATGGGAAGTTTGACAAAGAAAACAATGAAACTTAAACAAATATAAACAGACTGAATAGCAGTTACGGGAGTTTATAGTGAAGTTGAATACTTGCAAATTGAATTTATAGAGATGATCCTTATGGCAAGAATAACCAATGCATCTGAAATCATGAGGACTTTTCAAATCACTCTACATGTGTTGTTCATCAAAACAATCTGAAGCGTAGTGATCGAAAAATCGATTTTAAGTAAAATGAAAACTGCTAATGACTAGTACACTCATGGTATAAAGATAAAAACGTAAAAATTGTTTTTTCTTGATGATATACGATGTCTACAGACTCGAATATTTGATTAAATACAAAACAATTGAAAAATTGACCATTCTCGAACTTTATTTTTATGTAAAAGAATCTATATATTAAATAAATGCATTTTATTTCTTTTTTTCTTCTTTGAAGTTTTCGAAGTTGAGAAGCTCGATTTCTAAATAGTGGAAAGAAATTATAACGAATTGATAAAAAAAAAACTTAATAATGGTTCTTACTTAATGTGCCATAAAATTTGTATTTTTTTTTCTTTGGTTGCATAATTATTGGACTTGTCTGCTAGTAATCAAGTGAAATTTCTTCAATCTCCTCGAAATTTATTTTCTTATTTGTAGAAAAAAAAATCTATGAAACGTTCAAAAAACAATATAGATATGTTTATACACTGACAGCATCATTTATAGGGAACAATCATTTTCATGTCACTCTTGGATAATGCCCATAAATGCATGATTCTTCGAGTCTCATAATTATGAAAAATTGTTTCGGCTTCGGAGTGTATCTACAGCCTGAACATTGTGTAGATACAAAAGGCATTTTAAATGTATTTTCACTTAAGAGCTCTATAAGTATTGACATTGAACAACGATGCATAGCAAGTTTCTTCTCTGTTCAATGTGGATATAAAGATCGTAAGTTATATATACAAGAAAAGAGAGATAAGCGAGAAAAAATCTATCACATAATCATGTTGCCCCAATTGAAGAAGCTTGGCGAAATATCAAAGAAATATTCTTGGTATCTAATTATTCAATGAAAGGATGAAAAAAGAATTACGAAATTGATTCTTTCACGAGAAAAATGGTCGATACTAGAGTTCGATTTTGATCGGAACAAAAAAAATGGATGAATTCAGTCACAAAAGTTTGATCCACATCGTGCATTAGTTTTTTAAGACCAATATACAGTGTTTTCCTTCGATCGCAGGATCGGATTATTTCCAATAGTTATCATACCAAGGCTTGTGTTTGTGGACATTTGGGGGTAGAGGGTTAAATGGGGAGGAAAAACGTCGAACAATTAAATCAACTTTACAGAAATTCGATCTCTATTGAGTAAGTGTAATCAAATTTGAAGTGCTAATGAGACTGCTTTCATTAATGAAAAATAATAATAAGATGATCATAAAATTAGTTTCTTGTCAGTCGAAATGAATACTCTTTCTACCTATGCAGTTGAAGTCGAAAGAAAACATCTACTCCCTGTCGTAATTTTTAATTGTTTAACGAAACTTCTATAGTATTAATATTCATTTGAGGAATGTCTGTGGTTGAATAACAATGTTCGAGCATTTAAGACTCTATTTAAATTGAAAATATCGAAAGTTTATCTTTGATATTTTAGATTAGATTTATTTGTTTCTATATTAAAAAAGAAAAAACTTGTCTATACTTTACTGTCATCCTTGTCGTTTTGAGCCTGCATAATGCAAAGAAAAACATTAACAAATATTAGATAACATTCTAGATAAAACACTGATATAGAGTATGCTTAAAACAGAATAAAAAATTAATGTTTGAAATGTGGTTATGTTTTCATGTTTTTGGTATATTTTTATTCGTATGGCCTTTTAAATCTAATGCTGAAATAAATCATCCAACAGTAGGTGTAATTCGTTGGGATGCTTGGAATTTAATCAATGGACAATATGATGCAATATCATATTATTCTCATCGAGCTATGAGTCCAGAACATTTTCATTATCGTTTACCATTTTTTGCTAAAATTAATTCAGATACAAATGTTACTATTAATGGTGATACACAAGAAATAATGGATCAAGAAATTTTATATGCAAAATTTGCAGGTTTTGATTATTGGGCATTTGATACTTATTGTACATATGGACCTAATTGTACAACTAATTCTTCATATTGTATTCAATATTATAAACAAACATCTAATCAATATTGTCCTCAAAATCCATCTTATGGATTAACTCGATATTTATCAAGCCAATATATTTCATTGATTAATTTTACTTTTGTTTTATTAGGTTCATCACCTTGTGATGATCAATTTCAAGAATCTTATATTGAATATATGTTACATCCACAGTTTCAAACTGTATTAAATGGACGACCACTTTTATATTTATTTCAATTTGGTGATCAAGAAGCACAACTTTGTGGTGGTGGATGGCAAGGTAGTAGACAAGTATTTAATAATTTTCGACAAAAAGTTATTAATCGAGGTGAAATTTTTCTTTCATAATTAAATTTCTATTAACAGTATTATTTCTTATTTTAGGTTTAAATAATCCATATATGGTTTTAATGGATGCTGATATATCAAGATGTAAGACAAATGCTGCTACTATTGGATTTGATGCAATATCATCATATGGAATAGGTGGTGGTGGCACTATACAAGTAAAACATTCTCTAATTTATTAGAATACTGATCAGATTCATCTAGGGTTCTCCATTCAGTGATGAAGTTCAAAGAAGTGAACAGTAAGTCACATGAATTTTTATTACTATTGTCTTTAAAAAAAAAAAATAATCGTCGTAGCCATTTTTGAAATAACTCAAGAAAAGAAAGATCTAGAGAGCTGTGGGTTTTTACCAGTCGAAAGAGACGACACTAGAGCATCATTTTCTTCAATGTTGTACAAGATGAAATCATTTTAAAATCAAACATTTTTACAAAACATCGAAAAAAAGCACAAAAATTATGCGTCGTTCATATAAAATTTTGACAAAAAGTAAGAAAATTTGCTTAAACGTTAAGAGAAATTTATATTTTTCGAGGGAGTAAATAAAGACTTTGATTTGCTTAACGTTATATTGCGTGAAGATGATCATTCAAATCATATCTTAAACTACAGATCTGAGGTCTCTCTATCCAAATCACATATTAAAACCAAAATTTTATCGGAACAGCAGACCGTTTTCATGGGGTTTTTGCAATTTTTTGCACAAACGATTGATTTTAAAATGATTTCATCTTATATAACATTGGAAAAAATGATGTCCTAGTGTCGTCTCTTTTGACTGGTGAAAACCACAGCTCTCTAGCTCTTTCCTTTCTTGAGTTATAGCAAAAATAGTTACGACCATTATTTTTTTTAACATATAATAGTTGTTTTTTTTTAAATTGATGATTATGTCAATTGTTACACGATTGAAACAACAAGATACTCTACATCTTTTTAAGTAGTTTTGCAAGGTGAAGACATATCGAGAAATATATTTCGCCTATTTGTAGTCAAATCTAGGGCATACCGAACACTAATTGAAAATTTTTTTTTTTGACCGGATTTGTAGAGGGTGTTCAGAAAAATATAATGTTGTTCTTGGATATAAAATGGAATTTTTATTTTTAAAATATATACTCAATAGAGAAAAGTGTTGTCTGTTGATGTATACAAATTCGACATGTCTCATTTGTACTATTGTGTTTTTTAAAGATCTTAGATTTTGCTTAGTTGACCTTGGAACCTCTAGAAATTAACAATGCAAATAAGAAATGTCGGATGGTATATCTTATTTTTTGAATCTTATAATAGATGGTGGAATTCTGCTATTCAAAGTGGAACTAAAGTTGTGATAACTCTGCCAACTGGTTGGGATCCACGACCACGATATGAACATCCTGTACCATGGGTTGATCAAGGTCCAGAACATTTCTTACAACCAACTGCAGAAGAATTACAAAATTTTTTTAAAAATTCAATTCAATTAACTTGTGCAAATAAAAATATAACTGAAGCTCAAACAGTCATTGTCTATGCTTGGAATGAATGTAGTGAAAATGGTGCATCTCTTATTCCTTCGATTGGAAATGGTACATACTATGTTAGAGCTCTTTCGGAAATACTTCCTATGTCTTGCTAAATAGAACTTTTATCGAATTTTTTTTGTGTATATTTTCGTAAATCACAAGATTGGATTTTTTTGTCTTATTCTGATTTAGAAGAGAAAAAAAAGACAATTTCCTTTCAAACTATTTCAACAGCTAACTAAACATCATCGAAGAGCTTAAAACACAGATTATAATGAATTTTGATTTCAGCCACACAAGAATACATACAAGACAAATAAAACATATATCCGTAGTATAAATATGAGATTAAACAACTAATGAATGTGACATTTATTTTGATCACAATGATATTTTGTTTTTTTTTTCATAATTAACTGTTTTCTTATGAATCACACCTTTAACCAATGGGAAAAAAATCAGCACATTACATGAAAATATAGGAAGGATATTCAAGTTATTCTTAGTAAAGTGACTTTCAGATCATACTTTATCTATGCAGAATGAATTCGAGAAGAGATAAAAGATAGAAACGAAAGAGATTCTTGCTGCATCATTAACGTATTATCTCATTTTCTAATTCATGCGAATTTTTTAGATGAGAAGAGCTTGAAAAAAGATACCATTTGCTAATTTCTCTTTTTTTTGCATGAAGACATTCCTTTTTATGAAATAGACCGAATAATTTGCTTGTGCCCAGTACTTTATCGTTTCGCAACAGTAATAAATGTTTTTTTTTCTTTTGCAAAGCTTTTATCGTCTAGTATATTTTGTGTAAATGATGGAGAAAAAAATGGAATTCGTGCGTAGTTCCTGAACATGACAGCTGATATTCTTGTAAAATATTTTCTTTTTATCAAAGTTTTATTTGGTCAACTTATGTAATGAAACAGCTAAGGTTTTATACAAAATCTTTTAGCAAAATTATTTTATCTTTCTTTTTAGCTTCATTCTAATATATTTTTTTTGCATCACGTGTTATGCACTGCGTAAAACTATTTATTAAAAAAACCTATCCAGAATTAGAATACAGAATGCTTTTTTAGTTACCTTTAGCAAATATTATAAATCACTTCAATGAATGTAATATTAATGAATCATAGAGTAGAAATTGTTTCGTTTCCTTTACGATCTTGTAGTAGAGTATTCTTTATATTTTAATACTTAAATCCTATCCTGTTTTTGAAACTGGAAAAGACAAACAATAGAAAAATGAATAGCAAGATTTAATTATTTCAATATTGAATTGTAACGATGAGTTATTATTTATGCAATGATTTCAATGAAAAACTAACGAATGCAACAAGATTTAATCATTTGTTTCTTGTTTTTCAATGAGTGTAATGATTTACAATTTCATATGTATATTTTTATACTAGAAAATATTACAGCTGATCCTTATCTAAGTAGTTTTTCGAAGCTGAAGAAAAAAAGAAAGCTTCTTACATGATTAGAGTTTCATAGAGAATCTTTTTTTTGATCTGATCCTCTTATAAAAATCTAAAATAATATTACGAATGAATTATTACATAGTTTCTAAAGAGAAAAAAAATAATACAAATTTTGAGGTTTTTTGTGCAGTTTTCAAATATTTTAATTATTATAAATACAAGACGTCCTAGATTAGAAATTTGCCTGTAGTAGTTGCTTGTATATTTTCTATTTGAACCATTCAATTAACTTTAGTAGTTATTGATTAAATTTATCTATGATTCCATGTGTGTTAATTTTTCAGCAGGAACACAATGATGATATAATTTCTTTTTCTTTAATAGTCCTTTGAGAGCATTTTTTCAGTGGAAAAAATATTTTATTATTAATGAAGTGTATTTGTTCTCTATGTATTTCACTTTTGTAATTGGTAATTAGGTAGTTCTTCACATAAATACTTATCTCTGATTTTGCTTTTTCTTTCTTTTATTAAAATGAATTAAGATTTCTTTTGATACTTGGTACATTTTTTTACTAATATTAGAAGAAAAAAAAAATAATTTCCTTCTCTCTCTTCAGTTTTCACTCGTTTGACGCATGACCATATCTTTACTAACAAAAGAAAAGCCATCTTGTTCTGCGCAAAATAATGTATCATGTAGTAAGTGTTATGAAAGTCATGAACAAAATTATTCTATTCATCATTCAATAAAACATCAAGACAAAATTAACAAAACAAATGGAAAAAGTTTATCTATATCATAATCAAATTCGACAATTACTTATTGATGATACAAAAAATTTTTCTAATAATCCACTAATGAAAAAAATTGATGATTGGGAACAACAATCAATACTTAAAATTCAACAAACAGCTAATGATATTCGACAAGAATTAAAACATGTTCTTACTAAACATACAACTGAAATGAATGAATTATTTACAGAACTAAGTCAAAAATTAAATAAAGCTCGTACAAAAAATAATTTTATTGAAACTGATATAAAATTTTGGTTAAATAAACTTAATGAATTTAAAAATGATCTTCAAACACCTAAAACAATTAATATAATATTAGATGAAAATCATAATACATTTAGAAATAAAATAAAACTTTTACAAGTATCACTCGATTCATTTCATCGAGCTATCGGTGATATTGAAACAATAAATAATGGTTTTACTCTTATTCATGGTCCATCAAATGGTGATGCAACAATTCGTGGAAAAAAAGAATATTCTTCTGGTATTCATACATTTCGTTTTCAAATTGAAAAATTAGGTATACCTAAATGGGTATTTTTTGGTATTATATCAAAAAATATTCCTTCACAATCAAATCTATATAAAACTCCAACTGTATATGGTTGGGCAGGTCATCATCAAGTTTGGCTTAATGGTGCTCATCATCATCAATATAATAGTTATGTATGTGAATTTAATACAAATCATATAATTGAATTATTTATTGATTGTAATCGAAAAATTATACGTTTAACAAATGAAACAACGTCAATAACACATGAACTTGGTATATCTCCAATTAAATGTCCATTTCCATGGAATCTTTATATTGGTCTTTACGGTTCAGGCGATCAAGTTCGTCTTCTATTTGCTTGATTTCAATTGTAAAAATAAAATGAATTCAATTCCTCTTCTTCTTCTTCTTTTTTTTTTGAATTTCATGTAAATTTTTCCATCAAGTATATTTTAAAAACAAACAGAATATAAAATAAATATTACTAAAAAAGTGCAAAATAATATTCAATTCTTTTGATTTTTTTTATCTAATTGTTTTCTTTTCTTTCTACGCTTATTTCTAAATATAAATGCTGAAAACACTTTCTTTAGATTGTACTTCTCAGTTTCTCATGATTTTCTTGTTGACATGAAAAAATACTTGAACTTATCTCTTCAAGATAAGTATTACTTTTCTATTAGTATTTACTGTCAGATTAATTAGTGAACTAAAATAAAGTGACTTTACTTTTCTTTGACAATAATCATCTTGTATATTATCATCAGATAAAAACAAAGTTTCTCATCAAGAAAATTATTTTGTTTTTTTGAAGTATAACTATTCTGTAACTTCAGATGAATCAAGATAATATTGGTTTAAAGAAACTATAATCTAACACTGATTTAATTATCTTATTGTAATTTCATTTTTAAGATTAATTATCTTATTTATGTTATTTTGAATAGTCATGTTTCATCGAAAATTGACGACTAATTAACTAGTTTTCTTACATAGTTGACATTTGTTTTTTTTTTAAATCTCATTTCATCAGCATACTTTTTTCTTCTTTCATTTACATTTTATTTAATGTCTCCAAGAAAAGAAAAGATACTACTAGATGAAGCATTTGTCATAATACAAATGAGAACATCATTCATTATGTCATAAGCAGATATGTAAGTCGATCACCTAAGCTGATGATGGCAGTGTCACCGCTGAAATATATAAAAATAGATGCTAGATTTTTCAAAAAAAAACTTGCAACATAAAAGATTAGTTTTCAGAAATGTTCTTGTCTAGTATCTTATCATTATATTTTCTCTTTCTTAAAAAAAAAAATTCAAAAATTTTTAGCTAATATATTCAATTTTCTACACTATTCTTTCGGTATTTTTGTTTTTGATAAAAAAAATTGATTCCAAAATGTTGAGAACTGGATGAGATATTAGAAAGATATGTACAGCATCATTTATTCTGTGTCACTTGTTATTTTATGAAGTAAATTCTGAAGTATTATCTCGTAAAAATTGTTAATCATTTTCTTGTTGAAATTACTATAGAAAGGTAAAGGAACAGGAGATATAGAATATCAGATGTAAAAAGATCTTACTCTATCAGCAGACGGTAGTAATAAGTCTTTTATTTGGATTTCAGAGAATTGAAAAATCGATCTACTATCAGAGTTATGAATATATATCATTATTATATTTTGAATTTAACGCATGTTCATGATCAATAGAAGGAGCATATAGGTTAAAAGTCGTCATCTAATTATTATCAAAATGAAAACCATTATAAGCATGTTTGAAATCAAACTGCATAGCGTCTTTCTATCTGAACAATATATTTACAAAATTTAACATAGCATATAGTTTTTGCTATGTTGTTTAGAATTTTGCATTTGTTGTATGTTAAATAGATTTGAGAAATCAAATCAATAAAGCAAAAACGCAAAAAAAAATTTTTAAAAAGGAATTATCAATGCAATAATCAAAGTATTCGAATAAAATTGTTTCCATTTGTAATTGTATGTATTAACTGTTAAAGATATAAAAAAGATTCTCATAAGAACATAAATAGAAAAAATTATATAAGAAATACAAAAACAAATTCTCAAATAATTTGATATAAAATATAGAAAATTATTAAACTGTATCCATCGAGAAAGATCGTCGATAAGAATTATTTCGAATTGTTATAGTAAAAATTGATTAACCGCTGTGTATTTGACATAATAAGCAAATCTAACACATATACCCAGATTTTATTCAATTGTTTTCGATGGATATATTCTGTCAGTATCTAGTGCAGCATATGATAATGTTCGATTTCAATATAGAAAATCACCTGATTAATAATGAATTAGTTGTATGATCTTGAGTTAGACGAAGTTCTGGATTAAGTATTGTATTACCAGTAAATACAGTAAAATAAAATGTAAGTGGAGAAAATATTTTTTTCATTAATCATATCACACATAGTCATTAGAAGAAATAAATGGACAAAATTTGAGAATATTGGTAAAAAAAATTTTCTCATCTCTTTCATGCTCACTATTTTGTATAATGTTAACTATCCATTTGTTTTTTTTATGGTAAACAAAAATAAATTATGGTATGTATTTTTGGTATTTTTACTTCTCTTGTAGAATTCAAAGGAGAATTAAAAATGGATTATTGTATTTTCATATTGTCTGTTTTCGGTAAGTTATATACATTGATAATATAATTCAAACAACTAAATCGTTCTATTAGTGCATAAAATAGAGAATAATGACTCATAACTATACTTTAATCAAACACAAATATTGCTTATATTATTTAATATTGAATCGCGATAGGTTTTTAATATAAATTCCTGATGAAAATTATGAACTAATCAAAATAACATAATCAGGCAATGACTATTAAAGATCGACTTTTACTAAAGTCTCTTCGACTATGTCATATTAACTTCCAGAATTTTTCATTAAAAAGGTGTTTTTTTCAAAAACGCAAAATAATTTTGACACTTTGGAAAGAGATGTTCACGCTTTTAGAAGTTCAGAAATAATGTTAATCTCAGTCTTTTTCATTAAGACAGTCTTCATATTGCGTTTGGTACATTGTTCTTTCATGGAGTTTTTCAACTGTTGGGATGTAAAAAAAAATATAAGATTATGACTTGTTTACATATATATTTATTGTGTTGATAAGAATTAGTTGATCAACAGATCATATGAAACATCTAGATAAATCTTATTAAAAAGTAAATTAGACATTTTTTATGATGAGACCAATGAGTATTCGGTTGTTTTTCTACTCGAATATCAAATGACAATATCTTGATTCTTAAAGTATGTTGAAATTAATGATATGATTAACAAAAAAAAAACATACGTATATCTACTACCCATACAAAATTCATTGACATAAACTTGACCATTAAATATTTCTTGCTATTGATCAGATGTCAAATATGCAGATAAAGATATTGCGTTGATTATGGCACAGCAAAACATTTGCATAAAATACTAGCTCCCTTATAAGGTTTGATTATCAATGATTCAGCTATTCAAAACCATCTTAAAATACGAATAACTATTATTTTTTTTGTTTAATTAACGATTGAAAAAACGCGTATTGTAATGTAAACAAATAAATATTATTCCTATATAAATAATTTGAAAATTGAAAACATGAAAGAAATCACTTTGTATCTAACTTAGTAGTTATATTGACAACAATATATTAGAAATAATCTTGTATAGATTGTTCAAGTTTAACTTAATCGAGCATTAGCAGCGATTAATATCACTGATATTGAGGTCAAGTTATACAAAAATATATGAAAATATTACTATTGCTTTGTCAACTAGAGAAGAAGTACAATATGATTAATCTTATAATTTTTTTTGTCGGTAGTGAGAAAACTCAACAGGCATTTAGCATGCAATTCATTCGAATACAATCAATTAAATGAATTAATGATAACGATTAAAAAGTAAAACGTAGTGATTAAGATGTACTCAATTTACATATAGACAATATGTTTAAATATCATCTTATTTTTCCATTTCTTGATTAGTAAACTATGTATGATATCATTGTTGAACATGATATTTTTACTCTAGTCTTTTAATGATGATGTCATTGATGATCAGTATGGTTTAGTTATGATCGATAAAGTATCGTATAATCTGACAGCAAGGTTACTCTGACAACATTTTTATGATGATGCAATTACCAAATTAGCAACTAATCTAAAACTAAATACACAAATGATAGTATCGACTATGCTTGCTAATTGTTTATCACTGACTAATAGAATATATATGGGATTCTCCAACTAAACAGTAATTACTCGTTTAGATAGAAACTACTGATCTCCTTATATTTAAAACTAAACATCCAATATAACATAAATACATGTGTATGAGTTTGACATTCGTAATTTTTTTACAATTACAAAAACAACAATTTGCTTCGTTAGGAAAAGAACTCGAAACTAACATAGGAAATTATCATATAATTGATTCCTATGATGATAAAATCTATGTTAACTACTAATTGGATAAATCATGAAGGTGGACCCTATAGTCGTGATTATAACAATATGATTTCATCTAATCTATCTGTTCAATCAATATCAGTATTAATGAAATATTATAATAAAAAAAATTGTTTTCACAAAATGATGTGCCAGAAATGACAAAATACATTATTTATTTTATGAGATAAGATCCCAACTATATTTTCATGAAAAAGTCCCTTGTTGAAGAAAAATACTTGACAATTGAGTGATGTTGACACTTATGTTGTTTTAATGAAACTAAAATTGATTTTACTATTACGACTTGTCATCGAGTGCGTCTAAGTAGTACTACAAACAATGGTTGTTGATTGAGTAAGATATGATAAAGAATGTAGTATAACATTATCGAATGTCAACTCAAAAAGTCTGAGTTTTCATCGTTGAAAAGAGGAGACTTTGAAACATTCTATTCACCATTCTTTCGAAGGTTTTTGAATATCATGTTGCTTAGATAGTTCGATACCTCAAAGTCTCCCTTTTTCCATCGTGGAAATTATCGCTCTCTTTCTTGTTTGTATTGAAAGTTATTTGCAATCAAAAACAGTATGTTAACTTTTGAGCCATCCTTTGTAGACTATCGATAAATCGTTCAAAAAGTAAACAGAATCACATTTTGTCTCCAATCACATGTCTAATAAAAGTAAATATTTTATAAATTCGTATATAGATTCAGTAAACATCGGAAATGTTGATGAAGTAAATAAAGATAAAAAAAAAAGAAGGATAACAAAATCGTACATATTATCTAGATTCTAGATAGAAAAATGAGTTTTGTTTACTATGAATACAGAAATATTTATGAAATAAC